GAGAGGAGCGTTGCGGGTGGCTGATATCCCGGGGCTGGATGTGTCGCAGTGCTGCCGGTTACGTGTCGCCCTGCCGCGCGTGGAGGCCTGTGTTTAAACGGAAATGTCTTCCTTCGTAGGCTCAAACTGTTCAGGTTGCTGAAGTTGAACCGCAGCCGCAGACTTCACCTGAACTTCTACTTCCAAACTCTCTGAAGCCAGAAGAAGGGCTGGAAGTGTGGAAAAGCTGGGCGCAGACCAAGAACGCAGAGCTGGAAAAAGAAGCCCAAAATAGGCTAGCACCTATCGGAAGTATGTGTCCTGACAACACGGCCCTCCTTGCCGTCCAAGTGGGATGGGGAGGGACTGAGGTGTTGGCTGTTTAATGCTCTGGAAAACACCTTTGATCAGTGGTTGGTTTTAAATGTAAACTTTGAATTACTCTGCGGTGCCAATCGTGGCATGCTCCTGCTGCTGTGGGACACGGTCTGAGGGAGGGGTTACCCTGTGCTGAGCACCTAGGCTGCTTGCAGGAAACGGGCACTCCATGGATGAACCAAATGCCTGTGAATCCCAGCCAGGCTGGTGCAGCAGGCACGGAGCTGCCGTTTTCCTCCCGCTGCCAGGCAGCGTTTCGCCTTGCACACGCTAAAAGGCGGCGATGGTCGTGCAGTTGGCAGGGCAGAGTCTTCCTGTTGGGGTCCTGCCTGTTTATCTTCAGTGGATCTGATGGCCTAAGATCTTCCTTTATTTCAGCTTGCTTTATTATACCGGGAGCGGGAGGTCGTACGCGGCCTGCCAGCTAGAGTGGCGAAGCCGGAGACGTGGGGAGCCGTTCCTGAACGATTGGGAAATAATATGGCTTTATGGCTTAAATAATATGGCTTTGTTTTGTTTTTCCAGGGCGTCAGCTGCTGAGGTTCCAGGAAGATCTCATCTCTTCAGCTGTGGCCGAGCTGAATTATGGTCTGTGCTTAATGACACGGGAAGCTCGAAACGGCGATGGGGAGCCCTACGATCCGGATGTGCTCTACTACATCTTCCTGTGTATTCAGAAGGTAGGGGAGAGCAGCCCTGCATGTTGTCAGCCTGCGCAGGGAGGATCCTCCACTCTAATGGTGGAGACTGTGGCTGCTCTTAAGCTTCCCAACAATTTCATAAGAAAGTCTCTTTGCTTTCAAAAAAAATAAGAATCAGATTACGGGTGATTAGTGCATAGCAACACTTTCACCTGCTGAGTTAAGTGTTTGAAGAATTGTTAATCCTGGAGTTCAGTATCATGGTGAGAATAATCACTGGCTCATGGAATGGTTTGCATTGGGAGGGACCTTAAAGCCCACCCAGTCCCACCCCCTGCCATGGGCAGGGACCCCTTCCATAGCCCGGGTTGCTCCAAGCCTCATCCAGCCTGGCCTCGGACACTCCCAGGGAGGGGGCATCCACAGCTTCTCTGGGAACCTGTCCCAGTGCCTCCCCCCCCTCTGCGGGAAGAATTCCTTCCTGATGTCCCATCTCGATCTCCCTCTTTCCGTTTAAACCCGTTACCCCTTGTCCTGTCACTACAGGCCCTTGTAAAAAGTCCCCCCCAGCTTCCTTGTAGCCCCCTCCAGGCACTGGAAGGGGCTGTAGGGTCTCCCCGGAGCCTTCCCTTCTCCAGGCTGAACACCCCAGCTCTCTCAGCCTTGTAGCTTTTTTGGCAGGGGATGATGGTGGAGGAAGTTTTCAGGGTCAGAACTTGCTGTAGTTGAAGCTTTAACAGGCCCGAACTCAGCTGTGCGCGGTGCAGGAGGCCTGAGCTGGAATATTAGTGTGCTTTCTGGGAGAGCTGCTGGAGCAGAGCTAAACGTCTGTAGGAGAAGTGAGCATCTCTCCTTCACCTGGAAAAGCAGCTCCACAGGGCAGTTGTGTGAATAACACCGAATAAAAGGTGAAACCCAACCAGCTTTCCTCTAAGATGGTTTTCCTTCCCCTCTTAGCGTTCCCTGGTAGTAACTGAGGTTACCTGCCCTGCGTTGGCCTCGGTGCCAGGGTCCTCGCTCTTCTAAGTGGAACGTGTTAGCCGTCAGCGCCGCGCTGTAAAGTGCGTGACTGACGGGGTACGTGGCCCCTGGGGTCAGGCCGGGTCGAGGAATATTCTCGCTACCGCTGTACTGGTCCGTGTTGTGCCTCTCTTACAGTATCTCTTCGAAAATGGCCGCGTGGATGACATCTTCTCCGATCTCTACTACATCCGGTTCACTGAGTGGCTGCACGAAGTTCTCAAGGACGTACAGCCCCGCATTTCCCCTCTTGGTAAGAACTTTTGGGTTAGGACTTTAAAGCTTTCCCGAGTTTGGAATGTTTGAACTGAGCTACAGTGTGAGCGTAGCCCGAACGGAGACGCTTCGTCGTACAGGTGTCCCTAGGACAGCTCGTGCTGGTCGGGGGCAGTGTTGTGCCCGCGGTGGGTGCTCTCGGGCTGTAGGCCTGGCTGTCCTTGAGCATTTCTTGTCACCCAGCAGGAGGCAGGTGGCTGGGACTCTGTAGTGTTTTCCTTGGAAGCCAGCCGGTCCTTGGTTGGAGTCCGGCTCCCTCATCTGGAGCGCTACCCCCTCTGCCTCTAACCTGTGGTGTCGCTTTGGGAATGGGCACAGGGCTGTGCTGTTGCCGTGTAGCCGGATGGATGTGGCCTGCAGGGCCGGCTGAGTGACACGGGGAAAACCAGGCGTGCTCGGGGCCTGGAGCGCCGCCGTCCGATGCCGCTCAGCCCTGCCTTTGGAAGACGAAGGGGGGAGCAGGGCCAGGTCTCGAGCTGTGCATGAGAACTAGGTTAAGAGTTACGTTTGCAGAGCAGGGAAACCTGGTTTCTCGTTACTTCGTTGCTTTGATCTGATTAAACATCAGCGAAGAAGTGATGGCTCGCGTTCGGAGAAGTGGCTGACGGTACAGGCTGGCTAGCGCCGCGAGTTTTGGAATCCCTCTGTTCTTGTTCTGGCTGTTTGATCTGTGCTTTGTCACTCCGCAAGCCCCGGAGTCCATAGTCTGTCTTGCTGTGTATCTCTGTATTTGGAGTGTAGTATGGCTCTTCCGCACAAAGGAAAAGGATCTGGGAATCAAAGGATTACTCATGTGCCCAAATGCATCGCTTGGCTCTGCTGACTAAAGCTGCTGACTTGTTCCGCTGGCTTGCCTGCGCTCACATCGTTGGATTAGGAGCATCTGCATTGGAGCCGAGCCATCAATTACAAGCTGTTTAAGTGCATATTTACTCCTCTCTGGGCCGGGACGCAGAGGCTGTTGCAGGAGCGTACTCTCTGCAAGCAGAGGTTGATGTGTGTACCGTGATTCCTAACTGTCCCGGCTGCTTCCAAAGCTGTTTGCACAGTGGTGAACGCTGACCTCAGCAAAGATCTCCTTCCCTTGGGATTTCTGTTCTCTGGTACTTACAGGCCGTAAACCACTGCTGGTGCTCCTGCTCTGTCCCCCGGCATGATGCTGACTTGTGGTTTTTGCAGGTTATGTCCTCTCCAGTCATGTCACGGAAGAGATGCTGTGGGAGTGCAAGCAGCTGGGAGCTCACTCCCCTTCCACCCTGCTCACTACCCTGATGTTTTTCAATACAAAGTAAGTAGGTCTGTGGGAGTCTTGGGGAATACAGGGATTTCGGATGCCTCGTCGGGGTTGGTAAGGAACTGCCGCGCTGGCCGAGGGTGGGATGAGGTGTTGGATGGCTGCGGGCGGAGCCCTCCTGCAGCCCCCTCAGACAAGCGCTGCAGTCCAAGGAGGAAATGAGCTGGGGGGGGCAAACCGAGCGTGTGGCTGTGCCCTGCTGCTGGAACGATGCCTACCTCGGTGTCGGTCAGCGCCCCGGCTGGCTCGCCATGAGACATCAGCTCACTGCTGCGATGGCGGCCTCTCCCTGCCTCTGAATGTCCCGTTTCCCTCTTGCCGCTCAGGTACTTTCTCTTGAAAACGGTAGACCAGCACATGAAGCTGGCCTTCTCCAAGGTGTTGAGGCAGACCAAGAAGAACCCTTCCAACCCCAAGGATAAAAGCACGAGTATCCGCTACCTGACGGCTCCTGGTGTACACCAGACAGGACAGAAAGGTACTGTCTGGGAGCTTTCTTTGGGAATGTGTACTTACTGGGCTTGAAGGAAGTTGGATGAGCGTGGAGATTACAGAACCATGGAATGGTTTGGGGGGGAAGGGACCTTAAAGCCCACCCAGCCCCACCCTCTGCCATGGGCAGGGACACCTGCCATAGCCCAGGTTGCTCCAAGCCTCATCCAGCCTGGTCTTGGACACTCCCAGGGCTGGGGCATCCACAGCTTCTCTGGGCAACCTGTCCCAGAGCTCCCACCCTCTCCGGGAAGAATTCCTTCCTGATATCCAATCTAAACTTCCCCACTTTCAATTTAAACTCGTTCCCCCTTGTCCTGTCACTACAGGCCCTTGGGAAAAGTCCCCCCCCAGCTTCCTTGTAGCGCCCCCCAGGCACTGGAAGGTGCTATAGGGTCTCCCCGGCGCCTTCTCTTCTCCAGGCTGAACCCCCCAACCCTCCCAGCCTGTCCCCATAGCAGAGGGGCTCCAGCCCTCGGAGCATCTCTGTGGCCTCCTCTGGGCTGCAGATGCCTGCAGGTAGGGCCGGAGAGCTCAGGGCTGTGCTGTTTACCCTTCGCCCCGCAGCAGGAGCTCTCTGTGCTGCCTGAGGGAGCCTAGTACCCTCTGATCACACCGACCTGAGGCAGGTAGGGCTCGTCAGGAGCCAAGGAGAACCCTTTTTAGGGGCACAGGGGCTACGGGGCGTAAATGCTTGTGAACAGAGGGAGAAACGTCCACCTAGAGTACAGTCTGTTCTAAAAGCACAGCCTGGGGGTTTAGCTGGGGCGTTGCAGCCTCGGTAGCGATTTTGCTCCTTGTGGGCAGCGGTAGAGGAGAAGTGGGAAGAAGGGTGTGGATGGGTTGTGATTTTTGGGAGACCTGGGGTAAGGCAGGCTCTGCGTGTAGCGCTGTGAGCGTCGATAACCAGCAGCCGTGGGTCTCATGGCGCGGCGGCTGCCTGGGGCTGGGCTGTGGCACGGCCGGGTTCGGCCTACCCGGTGCCTGACGGACCTGTGGGGGCTGGTTTGTAGTTACAGACGACATGTACGCAGAGCAGACCGAGAACCCCGAGAACCCCCTGCGGTGCCCGATAAAGCTGTACGACTTCTACCTCTTCAAATGGTGAGAGCTCTTGTTCTGCCCGCGGCTGCTTGTCCTCTGTGCGCGTTGAGCTGTGTCTTGGGGCTGTGCCGGAGGGGTGGTGACCTGCCAGGGTGGGTTTACTCCGGCCCCTAAGCCGAACCTGTCTGCTACTGAGGAGGCAAAGCCTGGTCTGTGAGCGGGCTGCTCCAGTGTCAGTGGTGCCGGGGGGGTTGCTGCCTTGGCTCCAGCTCGCCGTTGCTGGCGTGAGCGAGCGAGGCGTCTGGAAGCATCCGCTAGTCGAGATGAGATTAGGGCTCCGCTCGGGTTGGCTTCTGCGCAAAAAGGAGGTTGGAGGGAGCCCCAGAGGTCTCGCCTCTACCTCGTGATTCCGATAATGAACGCAACGGTCCCTCTGCAGACTGGTTTCAGCTCGCCTGGGTGTGGAAACGCCCCATCCCTGCTGCCGTCTGTCTGTCCCACTTACCGCGGGGACGTAAAAATCCCGTTCTTGTCGCCGTGGCTTTTTAACCTTAGCTCGGCCCAAAACCTTTGGGACCGCTGTTGCCCCTAGGTGTAGCTCCGCACCGTCGAGTCCGATCGGCCAGGTGCTGGGGGCGTGTGGAGCCTGGGCTGGGGGCAGCGGCGGTCTCTCCCTCCCGGGACGTTGTTAGTCTGGTTATTTCTGATCTTCCTCACGCAGCCCCCAGAGTGTGAAAGGCCGGAATGACACGTTTTACTTGACACCGGAGCCCGTGGTGGCCCCCAACAGCCCTATCTGGTATTCCATCCAGCCGATCAGCCGAGAGCAGATGGAGCAGATGCTCACCCGGATCCTGGTGATACGAGAGATTCAGGAAGCTATTGCCGTGGCTAATGCCAGCACCATGCACTAAGGCATCCGTCTTGGCTCGGAAGGGGTGGGGTGACGGGGAGGGACAAGCAAAGATCAATTGTACAGACTTTTACACTAAAGGAGATGCCTAAGTTTTTGGTTTTTTTATTGGTGTAGTTATGAAGCCCTTTTAGGCTTCTTCTCTTTAAAAGAATCTAAAGGAAAACCTACCCATTGTGTATCCTACCCAACGCACCGCGCTGTTGGAACCGTTGGAGGCTGCGTGTCCCTGCGAGCTGTGGAAAGCTGCTGGTTGACTCTGGGTGTCGTTTTGGTTTGGGTTTTTTTTTTTTTTTAAATGATGTAGAAAACGTGAACTACAGGATTGGCCGGGGCCTCTGTCTCCTCGGAGCACGTGCAGCCTCGAGGGCACAGAATGATGGATGGACCTGCTCAGCCAGAGGAGAGGCAGGCATCTTTTCTTGTGCTTGGACGTTAATTTGCTGTTATCTGGGAAGGAAGAGGAGAGAGTGAACTGCAATTGTGATTTATACAAAACCCCACAAACCAACGATTTCTATTCAGACCTTTAAGTGACATTTTTAGACGTTAAAAGTACAAACTTTACCACGCTCTTCTTTTTTTGGCCTAAGACTGAGGCCTTAAACCTTGAGGCTCCTGTGCCTGATGGAATTCTTGTAACATACACTTGTGTATCATATAAAGATACCGCCCTGTTTCTCTTATGTATTCCTACTCTAGTTGTTTATTAAGAATGACGAGCACGTCTTTTCAACATGCCATGGAACAATGTGTCTTTATTTGGGGGAGAGTGAGCTGTGAGGGTGGGGGGGTCGTTACACCAACGTCAGTGTGCAGACTGGTTGTTCTCATCCCTGTTTGTGCTTTCCAGCTCGACTCTGCTGGACTCCTCACCCCTGCAGATGAGGAAGGCAGGAGGGGGACCTGAATGTCCGCGGAAGCTCGGTGTCAGGCTAGGAACACGGGATCCGTGAGACTGGATCGTGCTGTCGGTCTGACCTAGTGGCCTGCGAGGCTTCACCCCGTGGCGAATCCCCCCCGTCTCCCCCGACCTTTAGAAAAAACCCGCGTCACGCCAAGCGCACGATGGAGGCACGAGGCCTTCCGGGAGCAGCACGTGGCTTACTCCTGCCGCTGACGGCCCTTGCGCGGTGTTTAACGCTGCTGCGTAGCTTCTGGCTTCCTCCTCCCCAGCCCCGTAGCCTCGCCTCGCCGCATCC